AACTCTTGGGCTACTCTTTTACCAATGAATAGTGGGATTGACCGTCACATTATAACGCCCCCAGGGCTGAAAGGGCGAGCATGTTTGGCGGGACGGGGATTAGAACCCCCGAACCTCAGATTGCGAGTCGAGCACCCTAACCACATGGCCATGCCGGGCCTGATCATTAGCTGGATCAAGTGATATGGTCACTTCCATTCCTATCTTATTTGGTTCCTTTTTTTTTTCAAGTTCATTGGTCAGCTCTATATATTTGTTGTATTTAGCGATAATTTTATTTTTCCTAATGCTTGTTAGATTAAGGCTTTCGTCTGTTAGTAAAGATCAACTGTATTTACTAGGGAGTTCTAAGTTTTTACCTCTAAGTTTATCATGATAGTCACCATAACCTACAGTAATGACTTCTTTCTACCACTAAAAAGTTCACGTTTTCCCTAAGATTAGACATAGTGATTAAAGAATAAAAAAATGCATACTCACCTGATTGCCACCCTGTCGATGACAAGGATAGAGACCTACAGGTTTGTAAAGGTCGTCCCTACGGGCAGGGCTGTCAAGGCACGTGGTGGACCCTTCGCCCAAATTGCGTACCTATTGTTCAGATAAAAACAGATCATTTTATTACTGGATGAATACTAACATTATTCAGTACATTTCCGCGAGAGAAAAAAATTGGATTTAAGATAAAGTTGTTAGTTCTGGTATTTCAGCACCTTAGTTGAACTATAGATGGAGGTGACATTCATATTTTATACAAAACAAAACGTTATTTCGAAAACGCATTTTGAAAACTATTTACTTCATCTGGTTATATCAATAGCAGATCCTTAATGAGTCAATCACATAACCTGTCGAAATATCTAGCGTTTCATTGTTGCTGTTTTTTATGTCGTGTACTAAGATTTTGTTTATTTGTTTGTTTAGAATTAAGCACAAAGCTACACAATGGGCTATCTGTGCTCTGCCCACCACGGGTATCGAAACCCGGTTTCTAGCGTTGTAAGTCCACAGTGTACTAAGATAGCTAAGAAACTATCCTGTACTTTATCTGATGATTTTATGTTTATCCTGCATAAATGTACAAAAGAAGAGCTAAAATACGACCAATACTCGAGTTTTATTGAAATTTCCACAAATAAGGCTGATGTTCTCATTAAATTAATTTTTTTTTCGCAATCAGTTTTGTAGTCTTGTATTTTTGGAAAGAGTTTTCTCACAACTGTCGCAAAAAAAAGGTATGACAAAAACTTAGCTAATGAGTTGATTTTTGTATAAAGCCGTATTCTTTAGAAGTTACAGACGATGGTTGGCCATTGTGTAGAGCTCTAGATTTTCGAGATGGTGAGTCGGGCTTAAATCCATGCGATACAATAAAATATTTCCCACACTTTAGACTGTGGGTGCGTTATAAGAGTGACAGTTAGTTCATTAGTGTAGATGGCGGGTGGTATGGTGCTGCTCACTTAATACATTTCCTCTGGTCACTAATTAAAAAATTAAGAACGGCGGCAGATAGCCATAGTATCTTTGCCATGAATACAAAATAGAATACTGAAGTTAAAACGTTAACATACTAAAGCATTTAAACGTGTAGTCAAACGCATCATAAAACTATATAGTGTGCAGGACTATACAACGTTGGCTAACACGTAGTCATATGCATAATAACACCAAAAGAGTGCAGGACTAGAAACAATATGATAGTACAGTCAAACACCGGTACGTCATAGTGCGAGGAACTTTGGAAATCTATTCGAGATGTCAGAGGCTCGGAATAAGCAATCTAGGACCTTGACCTTAGTTTGATTCATCATAATGTAAAGTATAAGATAAAATAAATGTCAAAGTAAACGTACGGAACTGAATTTGCACTTTGACATCAGCCATGTATTCAACATACCAAATTTGGACACATCGATGTTACACATGATTACATGATAGACCAAATATATCGAACGCAGAACACTGTCACTCAGGTACAGTTAGAGGAAAATATGGATCATCCAGAGCATCATGAGAAAGATCTTGAGACACTCTCCTGCAACTGCATATGTACGTTTAGGATTACTGACCGTTGCAAGCGTCATATTCTGGATCATAGAGAATGGGGCGTTTAAAATATATTTCGGTTATTCAGTCGTGTTAGAAGATTAATCTTCATGGCTGTACAATAAACTGTGGAAATGACATGACACCGAAGTCAACTTCATTTACGACGTCATCTGTCTTTGAGCAGTCACGTGACAGTAACTTTCTGGTGTTCTCAAGATGAAGATGCTCAAGCCTGTGTTTAGGTGTCGTATCTTTTTCAGCTCACAAACTGATTAAGCAAAAATAGAATGATTGATGGTTAAACCTAAAGTAGCAAGGAGCAGTAAAAAATTATAAAACATGGAAATGTTGAGGAAAAGAGAAGGGCGAGGAAAACGGCAGGACAGATACAGCAAAGGAAGCACTGAAAAAATGGTTGAATAAACAAGAAGAAATGGCTCGAAACGACCCATTTTCAGTAAGTTAAGTGCAGAAAGAAATTACATGAAAAGGGAAGTCCAGCTGGCTAGAAAGAAGGCGATGATAGGAACATATTGATGTAGTGGCTACTAGTCGAATAAGTCGTCAGTGATGACATGGTACTGAAGGTAACTGTCTAAAGAAATAAGCATAATGTCATTCTGAGGTGTCCACAATCGTCCATCACCGGGAAGCGCCACCTTTTTAGGCAAAAAAGATTAAACAGGAGTGGATGAAACTGGGTTGAGTTAGTTGATCAGTGTATCACTGTTCGCACAATGCTCTTTGGCAGAGAAATTATTCTCGTGTGGTGGCAAGCTAGTTTGGTCATTTTTGTTTTTTTCAAAATTGTTCAACTTTGTTTGTCAGTGACAAAACAAACATGCACTTGTTTTGCTGGATATTCCCGAAGAAGGAAATTGAGCTTTAAAAGCTACACAAGCTGTCCTATGTTGCTTTATATAAATGTGTTTATTTATTTACTTGTTTTTAAGTATAAAGTTATTCAAAGGGGTATCTGCGTTGTGCTCATCATGGGTATCGAAACCGAATTTTAGTGTTATAAGCTCTTAGTTTTAACGCTGAGCTACCGGAGAGAATAATGAGTCTGGTATCTTTTGTTTGTTGTTAAGCGCAAAGCTACACAATAGGCTATGTGTGCTGTGCTGTGAAACCAGATTTTTTAGCTTTATAATTTCTGAAACTTACCTCTGAGCCACTAAAGAACTTTATATAGATACTTCTGAGTGTGATTAGTAGTAATTACAGAATGATTCGTTTCTGAATCTACTATATAAATCAAAGTGTGTGTCCGAGAAAAATACACGGTCGTTTATATATCATATCATATCTGTTCCTTCTATTTTTCCACATTTCTTAATCAATCAGCATAAAACTTGACACGATGATACAGGATGAAATGAGGAAGGTCATGAAGGGGATTGGAGTTGGACCCCCATCTTCTGTATAAATACACGTCAATATGTGTGTGTATCTGTTCCTTATACCTTTCCACATTTCTTGATCAATCAGTATCAAATCTGACGCAGTGACATAGGAAGGTCATGATGGGGGTTGGACCCCCCATGTAATTTCATATTGATAGAATACTTGGTTCTTTTATGTATTTTTATTGCACTTTTAATGGTTATTATGTTAAGAAAAAAACAACAGAAACACGATTTCCTATCCTTTGTTACATACGAAATTTGATTTCACCCGTCCAACGGACGGGTACTTCAGCTAGAATATTTAAAACAGAGTATAATTCGAAAAAGATCGGTTTGAGTAGTGTCATGACGAATTATAGAAAGAGAGTATTTTGGAAAAAAAGAATGTTCTATTATAATTTTTAGTCTCTAGGATGATAAATTTCCGATTGTATTTTGTGATTGCAACAATGTGACTGGCAATATTCATGATAACAGTTTTATAAAGGTTTTGTTTGTTTGTTTGAAGTTAAGCACATAGCTATACAATGGGCTATCTGTGCTCTGCCCACCAGGGGTATCGAAACCCGGTTTCTAGCATTATAAGTCCGCTGACATACCGTTGTGCCACTGGGGGTGGGGGCTTGATAAAGTTATAACGAAGTTCCTCACGTGGCTTTTCAACTTGAAAAAGAAAGGATTCATTGGTTTATTCGAACTGTATTAATTACTGACCTCGAAAAGCGGATGTTCAAATTGCCTTTACAGTATTAGAAACGTTCCAGTTTTTTGTGTTGTTTTCGGTGATTTACCACTTTAGTTTAAATTATTTGAAAATGAAGTTTCTGAGAGACGTACTGCAGGTGGGTGCAATAATATAGAGGGCTGATCACGTTATATTAAAACAATTTTGTCTAACTATGTCGTTACAGTCCTTGTCGCCACATTCAGTCATACTCTGAGAGCCATGCATCTTAACAACAACCATGCAACATAGTTTCCATTGTCAGAGGCTCCGTTGTAAGGCTGTCATGCTCAAATTACATCACTTCTCTCTGCTTTCCTAACCCATGTAGTGTATGAGGACGACAGTTTCCTAGCGCTCATTTCAACATTCTGATCGCACAGAAATCCGGCAACTTGACTGGTATGTTTTCGTATAGAATAGCATGAATACCTATTTCATACTCCAGCTGCTACAAGTATGCAACGGTATAACTGGAAGCCTTATTTTGGTGAATGCATACCCTTTCTTGATTTTATTGCCTAGGGCAAGGCTTTTGTCAATGACTTTTGTGTTCACTGATTTTCCCCTGTTACAAGACGCTATACGTTACTTACTACATTTAGATTACGACAGGTTGCATGTTTCTTTCTGGATGGTTCTGGTGCCCCAAGTTGATTCATATACATTGGCTTTCAAATGCAATTAAAAGTGATGTCCCCCGCCTTCGATCTCAAAACATCTCTATGGTTTTACTGTATGAATATTTTGCGTCAGAATGAGCTGTTAGATACCTTTCCTGAAATAGATCAACTTTCGGCGTTATTAGGCCACCTAAGAAATACCAAATAATGTCAAAATGCAATTTTGATACATTCCATTCCACCGCAACTCTATATTGGCCGTGGTTACCATTAGACTTGGTGATATGTATATTTATTTTTTTAATATAATATACTCAAACGAATTTTTGGATAAACGTCAAGCTAATTCCATGAATGAACAAACAGAGCACATTGCGAAAGTCTACGAGTTTTTAAAGAGTTACACTTTAATTCAGGCTGTGGTTGAGAGATGATATCAGAGACCTGGTTAGCAGAACGTACAGTTGGTAATCCAGTTGTGTATAGAGGAGAAATACCTGAAAATTATTCCTTAAAACAGCTACACTGTGTAGAAGAAACTAACAGCTGTAAAAAAGGAATTGCTACGGTGGTAATCTTGAAAAAAGCTATGCGAAGTTATAAGAAAGTAGTCTCGAAAAGGACTGTAGAAATAGTATACCAGTTGAGTGAATGTATTATTAAGCCTAAAACTACAAAATTGGCTATCTGTACTCTGCCTTCCAGAGAGATCGAACCCCAAATTTTAGAATTATAAGCCCTTAAGTTTAACGCTGAGCCACCAGGGGATAGTTGAGTGAGAAAAGGTAGCCCAAAAAAGGACTACTATCATCGATGTATAGACAGAAAATAACTGAAAAAAGTGTGCATGAATATGAAGAAAAAAGGTGAAAAGAAATTGAAACACCAGAAAGAATTTAGTTCTAAAAATGTTTAGTTTGTTTCAGGTATTTGCGCAAACTACAAAAGGATTATCTACGCTAGCCCTTCCTAATTTTGAACTGATGGACTAGAGGAAAGGTAGCTAATTAACAGCCCCCCTCCGCAAACTCTTGAGTTAATCTTATCAATCGAAATCGTGGGATTTGATCGTCACTATTATAACACACCCGTGACTCCAAAGTGTAAAGCCCGTATTTTTGGCAAGAACATGAACCATAGGCTTTTTAGATCCGTCATTCTACACGTTAACTATTACATCACACCCGGCTCTCCTGAAAAGGGGTGTAAAAAGTGACCGAGAATAGAGAAAAAGTAGCCATGTAAAACGATTACGACGAGATAAGATAGTATAAAGAACGGAACGAATAATAGTGACAGTCCTAAATTGGGATCCTTCAATGAATCACCGAATAGTTTACGGATTTGCAAAGCTAAGGTTCTGTTCCTCGCAGTGAACAGAGCGCAGATAGCTCATTGAATAGCTTTGAGTTAAAGGAAACAAACAAATCTAAAATCGACTATGAAAGCGTAATTGACAAAATCAAAAGAAACGCTCATATACAAAATAGAATAGATTAGATATTCATGAAAATATTGGGAAAAAAGACGAAATAATAAATCATTTAAATACAAACGAAATGCATATTTAAGCAGAAAGCATTATTAATGCTACATAAATGGTATGAAAAGGGGAGTAAAACAACAGTATATGTCTGGAATACCCTCAGTATTACTTTCCTACTTTTCAACCTCCCTCATACGCTGCATGGAGTCTGTCAACGCTAGTGGCTCAGCGGCACGTCCGAGTGCTTATAATGCTTAAAATCGGGTTTCTATGCCCGCGGTGAGTAAAACACAGATAGCTAATTGTGCAGCTTTGTGCTCAACAACAAACAAAATCTATATTTAGTTATTTATAATGAAAGTAACCTAATAATCACAACACGTTAGTATTATTTCAGATGTTCTCAATTTTGGTATTTTATGGTTCATTTTTTTATGCAGGGTAGATTTATTTTTATTTTATTAATAAATCTGAGAATTGTAAACTCTTAAGAATTTTTTTTCTTTAATAAATTTACAAACAAAAAAAAATTTGACACATACATACTGTTCATACTTAACTCTCTTGGTGATAGTTCTGTGACCACTTTTGTTTCTTTACAGAAATTTTATCTTTTTTATTGTAATTGTTTGTTTGTTTGTAATTAAGCACAAAGCTACACAATGGGTTATCTGTGCTCTGCCCACTACGGGTATCAAAACTTGAATTTTAGCGTTGTAAGTCCGTAGACATACCGTTGTACCAACTTTTATTGTAATAGTTTTAAAATTAAAATGTAATTATAAAAAAGCTCCATATTTAGAATTATCATATATTAAAAACTGTTTGTCCTGTGGGAATAAAATTTCATTAGAGGCACACTGAGAATCAGAACTCTATTCAGGAATGTTCGGCCGTTCTACAAGCTGTTTCAAAACTTTATTATAATGCATACATAAATCACTATTCTTGCAAATTAGCATTAATTATATTTGTCTTCTTTCTCTCTTTGAACATCATGAGATTTGTAATTGAATAAAATGTATACACACGTATAAGATATTTCAAAAATGAATGATTAATTCCAGAACCTATGATGTTTGCTGTAGATTCATGTAAGGATGAATTTTATATTCTGATATGAGAATAAAGAAAGCACACCGGAAACCTTTTTAAACACTTTACTACGTCCAGATTTTCTTGAATAAAACTTATGATTCTCAATGTACTTTTAGTAAATGTTAGTTCCGCTAGAACTAGTATTTTTTAAGATATCAACATTTGAAATTTGGGCTTGTTTGTATAAAAACCCTGTATTATTGCTTTAAGTAGTAGCAGTGAATATGGAACCTTCATTCAAATTACATTTAAAAGATACAGCGTTACTAAAAGTGTACATTGCAGAATAATTCCGAAAACAATATTCATTATTAATAGCTTTACATAAAATCAAATATTATACTTTTTGTAATCGTCAAGATTATATTCACTGTTAGTTATTGTCTTTGGAAAGGTGAGTAGCCAGCCATATTCGTATTTATTAACAGTTTATAGTTTACTAGACTGCACGCTGTTCTAATGATATGTACTTTGCCAACTTACCTCTCCAGAAGCAACAGCATCTCCAGGTACAAAGAGTTCTGGATAGACATTTTTAATGTACCAATCAAAACTTTTACATTTTAACTTTTTTCTCAACTTTTTCCTTGAACTTACGTCTCCAAAATCACCCTGCAAATCGAAATGATCACACCCAATACATATCTGTAAGACATACTCACGAAATACAGAAAATAGAATTGGCATTTTTTATCCACTTTTTTTGTTAAAAATGGGCACACATGAAGAATAATGATAATTTTCTTTATATTATTCATTAAACAATAAATAAATAGAAAACTCTAATCAAGCCTCAAAGGAATACTACAAAGTTACCACAAAGAAATACAAATAACAACATTTTTTTAAAAACTAAGAAACCAATGTTAATTGAAAAATTATAGGTGTTCTTGTATAGCAAAAGTCTGGTTGTATTTTACACAATCAAGTTAGAAATGGGGATATTATGATGAGTTTCATCTCACAGAAAGAACTATCAACTTCATCCGTCTAACAATAATAATTTGTAAATTTTAAAAATAGCTTGATAACCACTTTTTTCTTTTACAGTCAAAACGTTCTTTTATTTTGAGCAAGACTGGAATACTGCTACTTTATAGAAGAATACAACAAAAAGAAACAGTAAAAGTTTATAGCTTGTTACGAAAGATACAATATAATATAAAACTGTTTATAGTTCTAAAGTTATTTATAATTTTATTTCTTACCAAGTCGTAGCCTACCCTTTGGTAGTAATACTTAGCATAATCATCTAGCCAGACCTCTGCCAGTCGAATTGTGTTTCTCTTCAGTACGTTTACCCCTGACCTCCATTTGTAGGGGCTTCTTTTCCTAAAGATGTGACCCACATGAGAGCAAGGAACTATTTCTAATGTTCCATGGCACATCCATGTCTGTTATAGAGGAAATGATAAAATAATGATAGAACTATGATAAGAACTCTAACATTATATTAGGTTAAGACTGAAGAATCTGGACGAATATGTGAGACGAATTTTAAATTGATATAGAAAGATGAATCAAACCACTGTGAAAAAGGGGAACGATCTCTACTGGTCTTTCTCCAATAGTATATAATATTTTGAATTAAACAGAAACAGTGTACAATCTCAACTCACTGTAGCGCAACCTATAAAATGAGGCGATTAACACAAGTAGAAAACGATCAAGAATTATGCACACGTGCCAAAAGAAGAACTGGCCTAAATGGAGATAGAACATAATTGCTATTACTTCACACATGTAAAAACATTGAAGAAGAAGATACCATAACTTAAAAACATCTGAAATGTCACACAAATGGGCATAGGAAAGGATCTTTATTGTTATGGCATGCAGGTCAGAAGCTGAGTAGTCTAGATAAGGATAAAGAACGATCTCTATAGTGCTATAACAGATGCCAGAAGTTGGTGTGAACTTGATGGGAGTTAGAAAAAAAAACGATATCTATGGTGCTATAACAGATGCCAGAAGTTGGTGTGAACTTGATGGGAGTTAGAAAAAAAACGATATCTATAGTGATATAACAGATGCCAGAAGTTGGTGTGAACTTGATAGGAGTTAGTAAAGAACGATTTCTATAGTGCTATAACAGATAGATGCTGGAAGATGGTGTAAACTTGATGGGAGCTAGAAAAGAACGATTTCTATAGTGCTATAACAGATAGATGCTAGAAGATGGTGTGAACTTGATGGGAGTTAGAAGTCTTTTTTTTGTAATATCACACATCATAATACGGAGAGATAGAGACGGGTGTAATAAACAGTATCTATTTCAAGATTATGCATGGAAGATGATAAATTAACTCAGATGATAAAGAAGAATTAACTCAAATGATAAAGAAGAATTAACTTAAATGATAAAAAAGAATTAACTTAAAATGATAAAGAAGAATTAACTCAAATGATAAAGAAGAATTAACTTAAATGATAGAGAAGAATTATTATTATAAAAACAAAATTTGTCCTACGACTAGATTTAAATAGTATAAATTGTATATTAAACTATTAATTAGTCCAACTGCAAACTATAAAAAAAATACTTTTTATAACACAATAAAATAAGTGTACCTTAAAAGATAGTTCTAAGTTCTCTCCTCCCCATATGTCAAACCCACTATCATAAGTTCCAAGTGTTTCAAAAAACGTCCTGTCAATAGCAAACAATCCCCCTGCCATTGCTGGAGACCTGTTGATTGATATACAAATAACACGGTCATAAGTAAAACAAATGACAGTTAAAATATCTTAAACTTTATAGAACATTAACAAGAAAAGAAGTTTAGGTATTGGAATAACAGATTTTTAACGTCTTTTTTTTTGCACCTTCATAAATATTTTGTCAAATATTAAATGATATATACAGAGGGTTAATATCACTTTATTTGAAAGATTTGTTCATACTAATGCAGTGGAGCGTCGCTGCAAGTGCAACCCGTGGCGCCATATATTTGTCTCAAGCAACAAATTCCCGACCATCCAACGTGCAAGTATTGTCACGGATAGATACAACATTTCGAATAACAAATATTTTAATGCTCTCCGAGTAAAGTGAAAAATACGACTAAGAAGGATAAAACTAATGCACTTAAACTTGCCATAATTTCTGGTGCCGTTAACAAAAGGTTGCACAATGATTTCAAGTTGACAACTAATTGTATGCCGAAAGTTCATAAACTTCTCACCACACCTTCAAACTAACGGTCAAACTTAGACCATATATCTTGACAGACTTTCTACATATCTTCCACAATACGCCGACAAACATGCTCCCCCTTTCAGCCGTGGGGGCATTATTATGTGACGGTCAATCCCACTTTTCGTTGGTAAAAGAGTAGCCCAAGAGTTGGCGGTGAGTGGTGATGACTATCTACTTTCCCTCTAGACTTACAATGCTAAATTAGGGACGGCTAGCACAGATAACCCTCGTGTAGCTTTGCGCGAAATTCAAAACAAACTAATGTCTGCGGACTTACAATGCTAGAAACCGGGTTTCGATACTCGTGGTGAGCAGAGCACAGATAGCCCATTGTGTAGCTTTGTGCTTAATTTAAAACAAACAAATCAAAGAATCAAAACAAACCCAAACCCAATACGCGGACATCGGCTTCTAATGTCACATTCCAGAATATCAAAGGCACCAAAGTCCATTTGAGCTGCATCAATAATTCGACAGACAAGTGGTTTAATGTAATTGAACAAACCTTGAAATTAACGGTTGTTTTCATGAGAAAAGTGGCCCCCAAAAATTGGAATAACAACAGTTACATTCAACCACATGACTGTGGAGTCCTTGGTGCAACTCAAATGGATTTTGGTGCTCTTGATCTTCTTAAATCGGTATTAAAAACAGATGAAAAGTCTGCCAAGATGTGTGGCCTAAGGTTGACTTCATTATTCTCCAAAGAAACTTGTTACAATGGAAAGTGTAATATCGGAATCAGACAACAGTGCGTGATAATGGCTATCAGAATGAGCACGATAGACGATGGAGGAAGAACTTCCAAGGATAGTACAAAATTTAGACCATTGTTCTTATAAAGTGCGATTAATATTTGCAGAAATCCATTCAGAGTCTACAAATTTGCACTTACAATATCAAAAGATAATTATTTTCCAGATTATTACAATTTGACAGAAGCTATCAATTTAAACATAAATTACATCATACATTTTTAATTATAAAAAAATATATTTTTTAATAACTTGACTTTTTTGCCTTACAATTTTTCTTTGTTTTTAGTGATGGAGGTATTGCTGTGAAATTTCAAATTGTTCTTTAAATATTTGTTATTTCTTTTGACTAATAGCCCTTGTTGCTGGTCCAATTATATTTAGCGTCTCAATTCTAAGTAACAGGTTGACACGTCCAAAAAAACTTCTCGATATAAAACCCACACTTCGTATTTAAAGTAAATAAATTAGATCTCATAAGTCATAATTCCAATTCTTTTAATATTAAAATAATAAAACTAAATAAGAAAGAATGTTTATCAAAATTAAAAATACTCAAACTTTTTGTTTTCGTTCAAAGCATCTTTATAAATATGTTGAAAACTCCAATTGTAAGAATAGCTCAAATTATAAGCCTTAAGCAAAAAAGCTACTACTCGAGACAAATAATTCAGGTCCATAAATTAAAATACATCAACTAAGAACATTATTAAAATGGTTCTGTTTCGGCGACCATGGGTCGTTCTTCCTAAAGTTCTGTCGTTCCCCGGGGGTCAGCTGTAAGTTTACGGACTTACAATGGTAAACTTCGTGGTCTGATTCCCCACTCTGTACACAGTGCAGATAGCCTGTTGTGTAACTTTTTACCAAGAAAGCAAGAATAATTATCCTGTTTCTTCTGTCATAATAAGACATTAACAGCTTCCAATATTTGCACATATGGATAATAGGTTTGCATGTTTGTTATGTTTTTATCCCTGTGTTTGTATGTATGTGTTTGTCAGAAAAAAACCGGCTGAATGAATTTGTACGAAAGTTGTTATTATATTTGAACTATGATCCAACTTAGAAATGATTAGTTTTTGGAAGGTCAAGGTCACAGCAAGGCCTTCATGGGGACAGATTTTTCACACTATTTTTGCTCAATAACTCAGTCAAAAAAGATCGGGTTTTGGTGAAATTTGGTGAACATATGTAGAATATTATTCCTCATTATCCAACCCAAAATGGTCCTTGTCCGTTGATAATGACAGACATACGGACACATTTTCCAATTTTTTGAGGGTCGAATATGATCAACGCTGCACAGGAGAGGTATGCGTTCTACGGAGTGTCACTCTAGTTTGTTTTGTTTTTAAGCATAAAGTTACACAACATTAGTGTTATAAGCCCGCAAGTTTGGCCTTGAGCTCCGAGGGGTAGGGGATGGAGTGAAGGATAACAGACATACAAAAGAAAATTATTTAAAGAGAAAAATATTCATAAAAAGTTATTAAAACATCGATTGAAATATTTGTAAAAAGTCGATTTAGGAATATGCACCAGCTTTTAAGTGTGTGTGTGTGTGTGTGTGGGGGGGGGGGGTCTTTCTCTGAAAAACATTTGAAGATTTTTCTACAACCTTAACATCTTCCTAGTTGATTAACTAATTAGTATTTGCAACATGTTCTGTCCGGACAGAATTTTAGTTGATGATATGAAATATTTACCTCTTAAGATGTACTCGTTTCATCAATATAACATTCTTTACAATTTCAGTAAGGATTTACAAAAACAACATCAACTTCGACTCATTAAACTCATTCGAATATTCTATTGCAAAAGCTGTTAAGCCAACTAATAAAGGAGATAGAACTTTTGTAAGTGTATGGATGACGTCAAAAAAGTAATTGGTCAGAGAGAAATTCCAATTTTATGTTGTTTTTAAAGTAAAGCACAAGTTCGAACCACTGTTGTATAGTTAGTAATACAACTTTTCAGAAGTTGAAGAAGATAATATAATTTGTTTTTTCGAGTAAAAAGGTTGAAAACTATTTTGTAAATACATGAATTATTCAGTATTTCGAAAGTTTTGCTGTTATAATCAGGAATAATATAATGGTAGCAGTTGTACCAAAGGCGAATTGCAGAATGTATGCCCCCTCCCTGTAAATTTTCCCATCGGGCTCCCTTCATATTCGATTTATTATAGCACTATGGGCCCACATTTAGGGTGCCCCCCCCTCCGTAACGCGGGATCTGTTGGGGCAGTTGCTATGTACTTCAGTTGTACCTTTGTTAATGAGAAGGATTGTGATATTTGATTAGAACTCGAGTTGTTACTTTTATAATCAGAGGATGGTCTTTCCGTATTAGGTTTCAGTATGTTCTAATATAGTTTTAACTGTATTAATAAAGAGTTTAACTGCGATGCAGAGAGGAATAAATAACCGAAACATTTCTTATTGTTTTACCTCTTTATTGATAGAATAATAAAGTGAATGTAAAGAAAAAACCCCTTGCCAGTATAGCTAGTTAATGAAAATGGTCTTATAACGTGTACTAAACGTCATTCCAGTTGCAAAAATATAATTTATATCCAGAAATATCAGTCACACAAGGTTTATAATAAATACCATTAGATTAGAGACAAAATTTAAAAAAACAACAACAAAATTGTGAAGTGTACCACACAGGGTCCCATTGGTGCTTGCGGCGTTTTTTCTCTCTATCTGGAATCCCATGCCAGTTAAACTGAAGGTTCCAATCAAATCCACCAACATTCAGACTACTAGAATCTCTGAAGTGATACTCAAATGTATCATCATTGATTACATCAATCACTGGACAAACCACTGTTGTAGAATTTTGTGCAATACGGTCCAACAGGGGCTCCAACCACCCTATAGAGAAACAGGTGAAATACTCTATCATAAACTTATCTTTATAAAAAGTAAGAAAGAAAAAACAATTTTTCATGCGAACAATAATAAATCAGTTGTTTCAAAACATGCAGAAGCTTTAGAAAAACACTTCAGGTATTGTTAGAATTGATGTACAATTGAAAAAAAATATTCACCCATTTTTATAACATTCTACATAAAAATATTTTATTTTATTTAAGAATTACCAAAAAGAGAGGGGGGGGGGGTTCATAAACTTAGTGATACTTATTGAATATATCGTAGGGCATCTAACCTTTCAAATATAAAAATATAACACAAAAATGCATAACTGGAAAAATGAAAGCCTTGAGTTAAACTCAAACTCAAAAATCAACAAGGATGATATATGAAGACCATGATGATCGTATGAGTGGACAATTTCCACTGAATACTCGATCCCCGATCTTGACAGCAGCATCTTGCACGAAGGCTGCTTTCTTCAAAACTATTCTTCTCTGAAGTGTTGAAATAACAAGTTTCAAGTTACATTAACAGTCGATCCTCTTTGTTCAAATCTATAATTTGTTTATAAACTTCCCCTTATCTCCATTGCTGTATGGTCTTTTTCGTTCTCCGTTTTCACGTCTCTATTATGTTAACATTACATCAGTGTTCTTATCATGGCTGTAATTACGTTTTACGAGAACAATGTTAAAGTTTATAGATAAACTGCCAGGAATCGTTTCTCATGGCACAATAAATCCTGACATGGTTAATGTTTCTTTCTTTTTTAATACAGTCAACAGAACGAAAATTGAGCTCTAGCGATTCCGTGTAAGAATTATTTTCTAAACCGAAATACCCATCCAAGTCATCTTATTACACCCTCTACTAAATATTATATTTTTCTAATGATCAAAGTTATGGTCAGTAGAAAAGACCAGCTAACTTTACAATAACCCTTTTAAAAAGTATGTTTCGTGGCGCTTCAAATTACTTTGCCAGTTTTGTACCGAAAGGTATATTTGATTAAAGGTAAAAACTACAAAATAAACTCAGTGAGCTCTTTCTACCGTGGGAATCGAACCACGAATTATAGTGTTATAGACTTTCATGTTTATTGCTGAGCCACCGGGAGACAGAGCGAAGTGATCAATTAAGTTTAAAGTGCTAACCAGACAAGGAGCTAAATGCAAACTCTTACCAAATTTCGCTTGCGTATAATCGTTCATTGCCTAGACAACTTGAACCAACCTCAAGGAAATCTATACCAGTAAAACACGTGACTTATGTATGTTCAAGAAGATAGTAGTTATTTCCTCAGGAACACGTTGTTCTATGATCTCTACTAAAGCCCTATTTTTTGTTCTGTTTCAGAAGTTCGAGCAAATCTATACAAGGGTTAGAGCTGTGCAAGCCATCCATACTTTTGAACTGATAAACTAGATGGAAGGCAGTTAGTCAACAGACCTCATCGTTAACTATTGGTCTTCTATAATCAAATCGTCATGGTTCCAAAGTGAGGAACCCCCCCCTTTTTTTTTTGCGGCAGAAGGTCACTAGCCATGAAACCCTCAGTTTACAGTCGGGTACGCCAACCACTGGACCACGCCCGGTACCACTAAAATTCCAACAGTACAGAAGTATACCAAGGTAATACATTAATTGTAGCTACACATCTTGTGGTGGTTGTACAGAGTTTTAGGTAAAATTACAGGAAAACAGCACTCTCTATTCTAAATGTGAAGCTGCGCATTCAGTAATTATAGGGAATCAAATAATTACAGTTTCATATAAATCCGGTTTAGTTTCAGACAGAATCTGACAATTTGTAAACCTAGTTTGAAGTAGCTCCAACTCCCGATGTTCAGGAGCAGAATATATAATTCGCTTTAATTATATATATATATATATATATATATATGTCAATGTCGGCAATCCTAATTTACTTTGAAATACTAGCTTCTATACAGGAAGTACCATCTTCTAAAGTTTAATTCACAGCAAAATTTCATAGTCATTTAAAACTTAAATTGAATTCAATCTTCTATCTATGGGCTTGTACGTACGTCTTCTTATAAATATTAAATATAATACTGTGGTAACATTTTTAGAATACTCATTAGCTATTAAATTATATAGTAAGTTTAAAAACCACGACAAGAAGAGTGATAGCGCGTGTTCATTTTCGCACACTCACATTGCGGGTATAATACATATTGACATAAATTTATACAGCAATTCACCTCTATATGGATCGCAGAGGATCGAGACGAAACATTTCATTCAGTGTACATATACATTCTCTCTAGATCTAAAAATAACGCTTTATTAGCTCCAAGCTCAAAATTAGTTAAACACAAATAAAATAACGATTATAGTTTTTCTTAAGTCTTAAGAATTTGACGGAAGTAAATTTTTCACAACCTAAGAAAAACTTGTATGAATCCAATCAATATTTATTAGCCTTCCGTTTTTCAACATACAATTCAGAGGACGAAATGGCTATTTAGAGATCTGGATTTTGGAGTTGACGAGCCTTGTTCGAGCCCTGCCATATCACAAAATATTCCCCGCACTTTATGCTGCGAGTTATAAGAGCAATAGTCAATAGGTGGGTGGTAGAGCGCTGCTGACTGGCTGACTTCCTTATGGTCGATAATTCAAAGTTAAGGACGGCGGCAACTAGCTTTAGTAGCTTTGTCATAAATACAATTACTCACATATAATTTCGAATATGAACTAACCAAAAAATAGTCTTAGAACCTACCTTCGGTACATTCACAATGGGAGTCCAGATAAGTCAGGACGGTTGCTGTAGCTACAGACGCTCCTAGAAGCCGAGCTCTGATCAGTCCCTCCCTCCGGCGAGCTCGGACCACTCGGACCTTAGGAAGCCGAGTCACGTAGTCATCTAACTGGCGGAGAAGGTGGGCTGTGAAACATAACCGATAACAAAGATTTAGTTTACAAATGAAATCTAAACAAATATACAGTCAGACAGAAAATACGAGGAATTTACACAGCAAATGTACGGGTAAGTGAACATATCTTCAGTACGATGAAGTAAAGATGTTGTTTTAGCCTGTATATCGTCTACAGCGCATTTAAATTTGTACACTTTTGAGAAGCGTACCAAGACAAGAGCTCACTTATTTTATACAAGGAATTGGTTCAAGAAATCCATCCTCAATGGCCGCATGGAGGAGTCACTTGTTTTAACCATTTGCATCACTATACAGGAATGTGTTGTCTGCCAGTCAGTCAGTAGACACTAAAATGACGTCACATAAGGGACGCTTAACTTTGCAATTTGTACTGTTGTGATGTCAGAAAAATGTGCGCATATCATAAATCACGAGAAGAATTATACACTATTCGATGACGAGGAACCCACTTTGAGACTAATAATGGTTAGATATGGCTTGAATGGGTAATGAAGAAAAACTTTAATATAAATTTAACATAACAGCAAATGTACAACGTTTCGACAAGGTTTTGTCATCTTTAGGTACCCATTTAAGCCGTCTCCAACCATTATTAATTATACACTATGTCGGCTACAACACAGCATGACATATAAAGTTCAAGAACAAGGAATAAAAATATTTGTTATTCTTAATTTTGGTCTTATATTGAAATAGAACACTTTCGGGGACCCTGCGGAAGTACATCTAGTAAAGCAGCTCTAATTTTACCTTAAAGGTGCTGCGATAACCAAATAGTGCACTAATAATGTATTTGAACATTAACATGCGTTTCAAGTGTGAGAACAGAAAGTTGTACAAGAAGAGGTAATGCACGTCCCCACGACCCCAAAGTTCGGAGCACGGTCGTTTGCTGCAACAGGATATGAAGGGTGTTTGCCTTAGTGTAAAGTCACATTGTGCTACCTGCTGTGTCCAGCGCGGGGAATCGAAACCGGAATTCTAGCGTTGTAACAGGATACGAACAACGAACCCTCGAATTCACTGTCGGGCACGCTAACCACTCGGCCACGCTCGACCCATGTATGAATAAAACCAAAATAATTCCTTCAACAAATTCAAAGAAGTGGCAAAGCTAAGGCGTGGTGTTTTTACAAAGAAATGTCGTCAAACTACCTAACAGCTATGAGTTTTTATTTTTCGTACACATATTTATAAGGGTCATTTAGTAATACGACCCATTTACTTTTTATGCATGCGGTACAGGACAATGAGAAAAAAGAAGGCCAGCTTGTTAAGTAGACATAATTCTGAAATGTAACCTCTTCTTTGTTTGGTGGAGGAAATACAAAGTAAAATACCAACTTACTATAATTTCTCCCGTACACCATTTCAAAGCTGATAAGTACATTGAAGCGTATTATTGTAAAATTGAAATATCACAAAATACTGATAAATCTATAAAATGTTCAACGCATTTCGTTAACGACTTAAAATACTCCTTAGGACGAAACATAAACTCAAGTTTTAATATATAATTGGAAGGAAAAAAAAGCTTTGTTTAGTTGGTCCTCCGATGGTTCTTGAGGGATTTATAACCTAAAATTCTGGGGTCGATAATCATGGCAGACACAGTGTACATTGTGTCTTTATATTTCAAACAAACAAACCTACACCGATAAGATAATATTAATTTATAAATATACTGATTCTTTGTGTTCACAAGGAAAGTCTCCTTCAATAACTGTCTGAGACTACGAATTAATGAGTAATGATAGTTTTCATCTTATAACAACTCGCGACTTTTTTTGCACGCGCACAGAGCGAACTTGATTCTCCTGCTAGAAAAGAACATTTTGGTATTTTTGTCGTCGGCGCCCTTTGGCTAAAGCCTACGTACTACGGAATATCTTGGAATAAAATTGTTATGCTTGATTACCAATATGTAGGTGTACTCCTATAGTACTGTACTGTGATATTATGGAATCTGTAAGAAAGTTTACAAAGTTACAAATTACTAGCTTCAGTGTTCAGTTACGTTAGTGATTATTTGTTTGTTTGTAGTTAAGCACAAAGCTACACGAAGGACTATATATGCTGTGCCCACCACGGGTATCGAAACCCGGTTTCTAGCGTTGTAAGTCCACAGACATGCCGCTGTACCACTGTTCGTGATTAAACGAAATAATTTGCTCGTTATTAAGCACAAAGCTACACGAAGGACTATATATGCTGTGCCCACCACGGGTATCGAAACCCGATTTGTAGCAATATAAGTCCGCAGACGTGCCACTGGGGGGCTAAACGAAAGAAAAAAGTTAAAACAGAAATAACTGAAACTGTTAGTTAGATAAATACTGTGTACATGAATGCAAACCAAAATTTAGATTTCCAGAAAATCAATTTTGAATTCTGAATTTTTACTGAAGAAATTGAGAGAAGAGGAAAGTGCATTTTATTATAGAAATGTTTGTTTTCCTTGTTATAGTAATTCATTTAATTATAAACTAAAAAAATTGTTAGAAACAAAAGGAAAACACTTGTTTATCTATCAATATTTCTTGGATACATAAACCTAATCAAGAATGAGTACTTCTTTTAAAAGTTCAGTAACATATCACGACATTTATGTAACAATAATACTTTACACAATCACGACATTTATGTAACAATAAAGTAAAGTATTATTGTTACATAAATGTCGTGATTGTGTAAAGTATTATTGTTACATAAATGTCGTGATTGTGTAAAGTATTATTGTTACATAAATGTCGTGATTGTGTAAAGTAAGACTGATGGCAACTAAATATTTAGAAATTTCAAATGCACATTTCAATCTATATAAATAATTACGAAATATTCTATTAGTGACAAAAAATCGAGAAATCATTTTTACATAAACTCTTTGATATTATTATATTCTTTATACGCACTCCTAGGGTCGACCTGTGGGATGGTAGTAAGTCTAAGGACATATCAACGCTCAAATCCGTGGTTCGATTCCCAACGGTGAACAGAGCAGATAGCCCCATATGGCTTTATTCTAAAACAAACAAACTTATATGTTCTAAAAAATTTATAAGCACGATGAAACAGTATTCTTACTAACTCTCCTTAAACATGTTCGGTATAAAACTTCATTTATTGCCTTTACGAGCTAGAAATTGAGAACCTTGGAGAATATAGAAATATATAATAGCATTTTTATTATTTTATAGTATACAAAAACAGACTACAGCAAGCATATAGAATACATAGTAACTAGGAAACAAGTAGAGATAGCAATTCTAAACTGTGTGTAATGTATTGCTACATAAATGTCGTGATTGTAAACATTCATTAATTGTTAGAAAATCAGTTTAAAAATATCATTACAAGAGTTTACAGTTGGATACAGAGGATACAGTTTACAAGAGGATACAGTTGAGATGCATGTTTAAACCTAATTGTCTCCTAGGTTTTTTTTTGTTTTTTTAGATTTGAGGACAGGATTCTTACTTTAAAATCATCCTTTTTACTTGTCCTTACCCTCAACTATACTGGTTCTACTAAAAATGTTAACGCGAGCGAAAGAACATGCTAACCTAAGTTCCCCTTTTAAGTTAAGTGTACATAAGCATGGCCTTAGAGCATGTGACGTTATTGTTAATTTCAATTGGTTTAAGACTTTAGCTAGGGCCAACGATAAATAAAGCGTCCAAATAAAATTTTATAGAAATGTATTTTTTGTTAAGGGTAATTTTCAATCTTTTTTTTTCATTTTGTAAGTTCGCCTAAAGATAGAGAAAAAGAAACGTACAAAATACGAAAAAGTAGCTAGAAACATTGAAATATTCTATTTAGAGTTTTTTCTATAGTTCTGTGAAAACGATCAGCTCCGTTATTAGCCTCTTTCCAGTCTTCCTTATTTTTATTTTCACGAAATCTCTCAGTGATAAACACAAAAAAAACTAAACAACTCTAAGTTAATATAATAAAAATAAAGTTATGTAGAGTGAATTATGTTATTTGATACAAAACTAGTTTACATAGCAACATGAAGCAATACATATTTTACAGTTATCGATAAATCGACTCCTTACGTTTGATAAAACCAGATTTGAGATCTTGTTTTTATATATTGATAAATGTGACGGTGGGTTCTGAAGTATCTACCGATTGCTACGTCTTCAATGTTTAGTTTTGCGTTTACATAAGGCATTGAAATCTAATCTTATTTTATACATTTATTGCTGAAAAATCCCAGAGAAAAACTGACGTTATGTAGCATAGAAACTCGTTCTTCAAATTTATAAAAAATGAACTTTCAGACATTTCCATCGACTTGTTTGTGCATTACATGTTCGTAAAGTCTTTCAAAAATCATTGCATTTGAACTTCAACACACTCGTGTAGTCGTCTTTCATGAGGAATACACTTAACATGAAATTAAAGTGGTGCGCAATTCTACAGCACAACTCCAAAACATAAAACCACTCAAGTTTAATATACCACTTGAAAACATGTATTTTTGAAGTAATAAGCGATCTTTTCCTTTAAAATACAAAACACGAAGGGCTATCCATATAAAAGTAACAATCTATCTGACCAAATCTGTTGATGTATCAAAAGCAACAGGCGATTGCCAACATGGACGATAACTGATGAAACACCAGTTGTAAAGAGCAACAGTCACAGGAAGATTTTGTATGATCAGTTGGCTGCATATTTAGTCTCATCGTGAAACAAAATGGATAGAAAACTGCAATCAGAATATGATCGGGGTTCAATGTGGACACCAGCAACCAGTGAAAGACAATACTGTGTCAAATAAGCTCTATCACCTGGAATTACGCGGATTAATTTCTGTACAAAAGTCTACCATTAGCCCGAGAAACTAATTTTGTCGCATGCAATATTACAATAATCAAAGATGATCTGGTCAGATGAGCCATCTTTTCTTTCTCTTAGATACACATATGGACAAAGGCTGCCCAAAGAAGGGCACACATTATACATTTGATTTCGG